AAACATTTCCATTGTTAATGGCCATGATGTGGAAGAACCAGCAAGGGAGACTGAGGACATGCTGCTGGACAGATAGGAAGACATCCAAGAGAGCAGTGTCATGAAAACCTAGTGAGGAGGCAGTATCTCAAAGAATATGACTCATAGTGTCGGATACTACAAAGATATCAAAGAGAATGAAGATTGAGAAAAGGCCATTAGATATGGCAATTAGGAGACCATTTGTAATTTGCAGAGAGCAGTTTGAGTGAAATGATGAGATTGAAAGCCACATTGTAAATAGTTTAAAACAGAGAAGAAGAAACTGAGGCACCAATTGAAGACTGTTTTCTTGGAGTGTAGCCACAAGGGGGAGGAAGAAAACAGGTGAGAACTTCTGTGTTCCAGGGCAGTTTAGCACCTTCTCTTTACCCCAGTGAACAGTGTCTAAAACAGTGAGAAGATATGTGAGTTGCCCACAAGTCACACGTCAGTTTATGCCAGAAGTGGGACTTGAACCCCACTCTTCTTGACTTTGAGAACAGTTATCTTTCCAGTATAGTGTGTTAACTCATAAAAATAATGATAGTTATTCCTTCAAAATATAAGTACTTCAAATTCCTGCCTGCACATTTCTGTAGTAGAGCCTAGTTAAAATAAACTAAATGTTCAGATACATGTGTGTTTTGACCCTTCTCCTCCACCTGAGATTGTCATAAAACTCATTATGGGATATCTGAAATGTCCACAGGAGGAATATATTGTTTACTGTGAGATAAAACATTTAATTTTCAACTTATATGCAAAGCTTTTACCACTTTATCAGCCCGTCTGCTTTTTCATCATGCATTTCTTTGATTACATTTATTTCTCCAGTTTTCTGAATTGCCTTATTGGTGGTACATTCTGGTTACACACCCCTTTCCTTCTTCTTCTTTTTCTTTTTTTTTTCTTTTTGGTGAGGCAACTGGGGTTAAGTGACTTGCCCAGAGTCACATAGCTAGAGTGTTATGTGTCTGAGACTGGATTTGAACTCAGGTCCTCCTAACTCTAGGGCCAGTGCTCTATCCACTGCATCATCTAGCTGCACTGCCTCCCTTTCCTTTCTAACTGATTCTTATTTTTAATGCCCCAGAGACTATAGTTTCTCCTACCATTAATACTATCCAAAAGGACTATATTGGTTCCCTTATCAAAACACTTTAAATTTGCTTTATTTGCCACTTTTCATCACCTCTAACCCATAACCACATAAACATATGTTAACTCAAAAATGTGTTTGAGATTATTGTGTTACTTAATTTTTCTAACGGAAAGATTGTATTTTGCCACTAAGGTGGCTTTATGGGTGATCCTACTTTATGGTCTTTTTGATAATGCACTATTTCATCCATTAAGGATGGGTTCTGAAAGGGATGATGTAGCTTTTGTGGAATTCTCCACAGTATTGAACAGTGTTTAGTGAGGTGCTAGGAAATCATTCACCCTGCTCTGGCATAGAGAATGTCAGTATTGAGGGCAACATGCTGTTTTGTGAGTTTTGGATGATATAGTTTTCAGATCATTCTTACTTAAAAAAAAATTTCTTTGTTTTCAGGGGGAATATTTTTTTAAGGTTAACTCAGTCTCTGTCTCTACCAAATAAAATCATCCATTTTTAATCTGGTTTATTGACTAGATTATGGCATGTCTGTGGTTCATCAGTCCAAAAGAGATATAGAGCTAGTTTAATATTCCTGTGTAACAAGAAAATTGTGACCCTGGCCAAGTTACTGTTTGCCTCAGTTCCTCATCTGTAAAAATGATCTGGAGAAGGAAATGGCAAACCACTCCAGTATCTTTGCCAAGAACACTTCAGATGGGGTCATGAAGAATCGGACACAACTGAAAAACAACAAAAAGTCATTATTGACTCCATGGTTAAAAGTATTATCACAGTTACTAGTTGGTGGGAAATAGGGAGAAAAACTGTGCTGAGCCCCCGTTTTAAATAGAGACCCTGGAGCCCATGGCCTGTCCTCCAGTCCCAGGGTCCAATCCGAGGGGCAGAAGATACTGCTGAGCTGTGAGTGCCAGGCAGATTAGTTGTGCAGCATAATGAGATTTCCCAATGATGAATTTCCTGGGGAAGGAAGGCATGTTCAAGAGTTCCCGAGAAGTCTAAAAGCAGTGTAGCTGGTGGAAAATGAGGAGAAAAAACTGTGCTACTCCATTTCCTGTCATTATAATTGTGAGGGGAAAAAGTACTATTTGACTTAAGCAGAAAATGAATTTGTATAGCCTCACAGTGCAATGTAGAACCTTATAGATATGTAGGTATTAGATAAACTGAGATAACCACTAGGATAATGACTCCATTCTTTTCCTTCTGTCATTCCTATTTAATTGATCTAGCCAAAAGTCCTGAAAGGACTCTTCCTGATAATTGAGTTTATATTTAAAAAAAAAGATGTATGGAAAAGGGAGCCCATTTGGTATTCTCCCCTTCACAACCCTTCATGGAATGAAATGTCAGTCAGTCAACACACATTTAGTCAGCACTTACTTTGTCCCAGGCACTGTTTCAGAGTTCTGTATTATTATCTTGTAATTATTATTGTTAAGTATGAATAATAATAATGTCAACTTACCCTGCATTTCTTTAGTGCCTACTATGTGTCAGGCACTATGCTAAGTGCTGGGATTTATGTTGCTCTTTAAAATGTAGGAAGTATTTTACATGCCTTATTTCACTGGGTCCTGTGAGGTAGGTACCTCACTTTATTACCCCCATTTTAGAAATGGGGAAACAGGAAGCTCAGAAAGATTGTGGTTTGACATGGTCACACAGCCAGAGTTAGAATTAGAATATAAACTCAAGTCTTCCTAACTTCAACTCCAGCAGTCTGTGAATGGATGAATAAGTATTAAGTATTTATGTGCAATGCAATGTCCTAAGTGTAAGAGATACAAAAAGTAAAATAGTATCTTCTCTTAAGGAGCTCCTGTTTTAACAGGGTGAGATAACACATAGAAAAGATTTCAGCAGTTAAGTCGGATGCAAAGGGAAACTGGTCCTTAGAGTACAATGGTAAAACCAGTGGTAACAATGCATCATGTTGATGTCATTTCCACCTCTCATATCATGACAGTTTCCAAGGACTTTTAACAGTGTCAAGGACTTTAGTGGCTAGAACTTGCTTTTCTTGATCTTCAGTAATTGTCTGATATACTTTTTCTTTCTTTCTTTCTTTTTTTTCTTTTTGTTCAGGCAATTGGGGTTAAGTGACTTGCCCAGAGTCACACAGCTAGTGAGTTGTTATGTGTCTGAGTCCGGATTTGAACTCAGATCCTCCTGACTCCAGGGTCAGTGCTCCATTTACTGTGCCATCTAGCTGCCCCCGATACACTTTCAAAGGCAGTTGCCAGGATACATCTTTACAGGGGTTGCTTCCCTGCTGATTGCTATAAGCTCTGGGCTTGAAGAAGCATCAGTGGTCTGGAATTCTCAGGAATTTGTGTCCAAATTCCTGGGTTATCTCTACTGGGCTCTGAGGAAAGGTGGCAGTGGTAGTTTACCTTGCCTGGAATGTGCCACTTCCTATCTCTCCATCAGGGTACCTTGTTATTTTAGCTAGTCTGCCTTTCTTGCTCTGTAGATGTTTGGCACTTGGTGGGGATGATTGGTTCCTTCTCTGCAGGAGTTGCTTTCCTAGATAATAGCTGGGAGAGCTGAGTGGAAGCAGGTCAGGTGGTCTTAGATGCACTGCTGTTCCTCATGCTCTTGAATTCAAGATTCTGGCCTATCTTTATCTTGGTCTCAGGGGAGATGGTGGTCACCATGGTGGTAGTGGTGGTGGCTTGATCCCTTCTAGCTCAAGGTGCTCTCAGTCTCTCTCAGAGTGCCTTATTGCTTAAATTAGGTTTCCTGTCCAGTAGGCCACACTGTCTGTCCAAGTCATGAAGTGTGATTCCTTCCACTCTCCCACTACCCATTTATTTCATAGCTGCCATTTGAGCTTAACCTTCAGGCCTAAATGAAATGAGTTTAGTAGTCTGAACAGAGTCCCTAGTGAACAATAGACCATGTTACCAAAACACCATATGCATATACAAAACTATCAGCTTCTCCTCAAGAAACACTCAGTACTGGGCAAACATGAAGGCAGAATTACCTCACACCCTCCAGAGAGTGATTTTTCCAGGTGAAGATTGAGGTCATTTATAAGGCAGCGGGAAAAGTGTGCATTGCATTGTGCTTGGCCCTCTTTGGCCTGGGAATATACCAAGGACCACATTTTGTAGTAAAGCCACTGTAACCTCGTTATTTGTTTGGGATGGGCAACGTGTAGTTTTTTCCTTTTTCAGGTCTGTGCAAATTGAATTCATTTGCCCTTAGTACATTTCAGTGATTTGTACATGTTTATTGATAAATAGATCTATAGGGGGAAGGTCTTTAAGTAATATACATTTTAAAAATTAAATACCAGCAGGGTTTTTTTAAAGTAGAAGACATAATTTTCTCAAATCATTTTTTAAGTGGAAAAGCATTTTGTTTTGAGATGAGGAGAGGAAGAGATTTCCTCCTCAACACTTTCCTCTTCAGAAGGCACTTAATCCCTTACAAAATAGGTCTAATTTGGTATATCTTATAATAAGAAGCATAATGTGAAATTATAAAAGCCTCAGACCAGTTAGCTATAGATATTAGAAACTGTTCTCACTTACTTTTAGATACTGAGTATTTTCCTGAAGATTATGACCAGGGTATATATGTAACATTTTGAATATGTTATATGAAGGGAATTAATATACATAGCTCTTAAGATGTTTCTCAGCTGTATGAACCAGTAGTTTTTCCTTTGAAATTTGGAAGCTAATGATAATCTGGTCTTTAGATTTGAAAATAACTTCTTTATTTCACAAGCTTAAATGCAGGAAGTATGGAGGAAACTGTATAGAGTCGAATATGTGACAATCATGTGACAGCTTGGACATCATATACATGTGTTTCTTTATCTTTTTCTGTCTCTCATATCTAGATTTCTTTTGACCTTGCTGAATATACTGCTGATGTTGATGGCGTTGGCACTCTACGACTTCTTGATGCAATCAAAACTTGTGGCCTTATCAATTCTGTAAAGTTCTACCAAGCCTCAACAAGTGAACTTTATGGGAAAGTACAAGAAATACCACAAAAGGAGACTACCCCTTTTTATCCTCGGTCACCATATGGTGAGAATGTGTGTGTGTGTGTGTGTGTGTGTGTGTGTGTGTGTGTGTGTGTGTGTACACACATGTGTACATGTGCATGTCTGTTTTAGGGGTGTGTGTATGTTTCTGGTTTAATTCTGTACGTGTCTCAGGGCTGAAGTCATTTGGGTGTGAGATTAACATTAAGATAGACTAAAAGTGACTAGACTTGTTGAGAGGCATACCTTTATAAATTGCTAAATAAAAGTATTTGCTGCCATCGCCTCAGGGGTGGAAATTACCACCTCACTTTACGGAACCTTGTTCATTCAGCCCTTCCATACAGAACACTTTAAAAGGAAAATTAGACTCAACATGATTCTTTTTATTGAAAGGTTGTGAGATCATGTTGAAGTGATAAGATTTCATGTTTTTTCTTTCCTCAGTCATAGCGTCCTAAGAGTTCGTTTCTTCAGAATTTATGCTAATTCTGGAATATTTTTAAAACATCATTTATAGAAGGCTCCAGTGATAGTTTCAAATCAGACAGAGTATTTTTACTACCTTACCACCACTGTTTTTTTTTTTGTAAACTAGAAAAGGTCAAAACCATATGTTTCACATATTCTGTTTCTGTTTCTTGTATGTAAAAAGAACTATACACTAATGTAAAAAAAGTAGTTATATATTTCCCAATAGAAATATTCACAATAGAGCAAAAGTTTAATTTGATACTTCTCATTTGACTGCTCTTTCTTGTTCAGGGTCTCTTTTGATTTTTATGCATTTCTATGTTTATGCATTGGTCATGTCCTGAAAATTGTTAGAAATTGACTTTTTAAAGTTTTATATTAATTTTAAATTAATTTCTCCAACAGGAGCAGCAAAACTTTATGCTTACTGGATAGTAGTGAACTTCCGTGAGGCCTACAACTTGTTTGCTGTCAATGGTATTCTTTTCAATCATGAGAGTCCCAGAAGAGGTTAGTAGAGCTTAGGCTTGAGTGCACAGAGGGTCTTGGGTAAAAAAATGGGGGAAAAAAAAGGTCAGTAATCCTTTTGCCTATTTGAAATAAGTAAACAAAGAAATAGCAATCCAGGTTTATTCCATAAAGGTTATTTCTTAAGCCCATTCCTGGAATGCATTTGTGGTGGAAAAAGCACTCCACTCGTCCATGACGAGGACAGAAAACCCATTTACCTCCTTGACCTTCTAAAAGAAGACCACATAGAGAAAAAGTGATATTTGAAATGCCTTAATATGCCAAGTTGCTAACGGCATCTGTTCTAAGTGATAAAACATGATTTATTATTATATTTTGGAATACACCTTTCACTTCATTGTTATCAGGCACTTCTTGTGAAGAAATTCTGCCTTCCAATGTAGATCATCACCTGCTCTGAGATTTACTTTCGAAGAGAGTTGCTTAGGCCTCTTCCACTATGCAACCCTATCTCTATGCCATGTTAACAGCAAAAATTCATTCAAAAATTTCATTGAAAAAATATCACTTTGCACCTTTAAAAAATTTCTACAACTTTTCCATATATTCAATATATGGAATATGTCAATATATTATATATAAAGAGAAAAGTAATAGAATTATTTAAATTTCAGTATAGCAGTACTTCGGGGAATCATTAGTATGTGTGTATTTCCTCACACTGTACAGATTTCAATCCATACCTTCTTATCCTGGGTTATTCTTAGCTGTGTCTTCCTATAAAACCTTTGTAGGTTGTTTATCTAACATGCTGGAAGTACTTCTCTGGATCTTCCCTTATTATACATGTACTAATCAATACAGCACTTGGAATATGCACTTGTTATCCTTTGTTCTTGCTACATGACTGGTCCCTCCCCTTTGGAGGATGATTTTAATACCACTTCTTGTGTATAAGTCCTCCTTGGGAATATGTTTTAGCCTATTTATCTCTCCAGCACCCTTTGGATAGAGAGCTGACATTTTGATTTTTCAGAGGTTGTGATGTTTCATAATTTAAAGTCCTATTGCATTCCCAGAAGAATATTGGTGTTAAAAATATGGCTCCTTTTTCTAGGCAGCAGAGTAGCAATACAGAGGGGGAACTTCTTTACTGTTCCCTCTGCTATTTGCCTTACCTTGAATTTGAATTCTTTAAACTGAATTCTGACTCCATCACCCAGCTCAGACTGTCTCTTACTTTCAGCTTCTCTACTCTTCTTAAATCTGTTCTTCATCCTTATTGTGACCTCACTCCCTGATGCATCAGGAAATTCACACCATCTGAACCCATCACAGTGCTTAAGCAGGTCTCATGATCACTGGTTCTTTCTAGAGACTGAACTTGGAGTCCAGGCTGGTCCGGTATGTTGTTTAATGACTATTGTAATGAATGTTCAACAACCTAACACCATTCAATATTGGAAAGATATATAGTTACTCCTTTTTTAGACTCATTTATGTTACTGAAGGAAAACTCTTTATGATATTCTTCTGAATAATTGAATAATTCCCCTAATTTTTTAGAAATCCTATTAGATTTAGAAAGCCAATGCTATAAGCTATAGTTCTATTTTCTTTTTTATATAAGTGTATTCCTCTTATTTTTCCCTTTATCTTGAAAAATAAAATCAATATACCAATACAATTCAAGCATTTAAATATCCTACAATGTTTGGCTCTTATTAGCATATTAGTTTTAATGAGAATCCCTCAAAAAAATTCTTTAAAAAAATTTTGGAAGCAGGTGACTCTGATTTTGAGAAAAGTCTAAATCGTAGGCTGATATACATGGAATCTTTCTTTTAAGTTTTAACTATACATAGTAATTTAAATTATCTGTTAAGGCAGCATTTCTAAATAGAGCTCCAGCTAGACGTGCTTTGATGAATAGATACAATGAATTTGTAATTAGTAAAATACTTTTGCACACCCACAATTTGCTGTGGTACTTTTAAAAAGTTTATACTTAAGTAAGTTAAGCATGCTCCATCAGTCTTTTTTTTTTCACTAGTAACTCAATTAGCAGACCGTCTATTTCTTAGATGTCGTAAAGGTAAAGTTCAGCACAGGCCAGACCAAATGAACACAAATGCTAAATTAGTGAGAGTGCAAATTAATGAGGCTTTACAGCATTACAAGATTTTCTTTCTTCCTGGCAATAAAATAAGTCTGGAATAGGTTTTGTGACATAAACTACTTTTCTTAATGCAAAATAATTGGCAAAGACTATTTTTGAATTAGTGCATATTGTTCCATGAGATAAGTTGTAACTTTAAAAAAATGTGGATAGTTCTGCCTAGAATTTTTTTTTTAATATGATGATGTAGACAGTCAGGCCTGGAGACTAATAACTTTTCCCATTCCCAGGCTCCTCATTCATTTCTGTGCATAAATATTCCAAGGGTAATCTACTAATCGCAGCTCTCAGTAGACTTCTGTTGGCTGGTTGACCTCTCCCAGGCCTGCTCCGTTACATACATTTGCACAGCCAAGCTCTGGAAAAGCATTTTCATTATTTCCTGTGGACTAGCTAAGCCCAAGATGTATGTCAATGGGGCTGTACAAGTGTCCCTTGTGAATGTTTTATACCTCCTGTGTCCATGTATAAATAGATAGCAGCACTGTGTGGCAATGGAAGAAGCTATCTTCTTTTTTTTTTAATTAAAAAAAGTAATTGATAAGAAAGGAAGGTATTATGTGTTGTGAAAAGAACATGGGGCTAAGAATCAGGATAAGTTCTATCTGCTCTTTCTTGAATTGTTGTACAGTTTTCTGCAATCCATTCAGCCTGAGTCTCAACTCTCACATGGAGATAATTATACTTGCATGACCTTCCTCATAACATTATTGTGAGGAAAACACTTAGCAGCTTGTTGCTGTCAATCTCTGTGTCTCAGATTCCTTATCTGTAAAATGGATTTGATGATAACAACTCATATCTATTTCACTGATTTGTGTGACAAGAATCTAATGAGCAAATGTTTGTGAAAGTGCTTTGAAAAGTATAAAGCACTATAAAAATGTGAAATGTCATTATTATTAAACATGATAGTGTATTTTAGTGTGTCGACTACTGGACCTGAGTTCAGGAAGGCCTGGGTTCAAATCCCACTTCAGATACCTACTAGCCATGTGATGACTGGGCAAAATACTTGTCCTCTCTGGACCTCAGTTTCCTCATCTGTAAAATGAGGAGATTGGCCTCTAAGGTCCCTTTCAGTTTCAAATATATAATCTTATGATTCTATGGTAAAAAATTCTACCCTTCAAATTCAAGCTACTGTTAGGGAATTAATGGGGGAAACCAAAATGATACTGTCTGTGTCCTAGAATCAGTACATATTTGGTCCCATTGTGCCTACTGATGTAGAATCACACAGTAATTATTCTTGTTCAGAATGATAAACCCGTAGTACTGCAAGAGCCTTGATAATCCAGGAGAGATTCAGTTATGTTCCCTTTATTCTATTTCCCAAATCAGAAAAAAAAAGTAGACTAAAAAAAAAAGATTATTGATTCCCTTTGTCATTTATCAATGTTGTCTCAGACTCATCTCCACTTCCCCTTGTGGCACAGAAGAATAAGTAAAAATAATCTATATGATGACCTCATTTAAGGATATGTATGATACTCTGTTCTATTAGACTAACACACTGTGGAAAGACCTCCAATAGCATAGGTGGAAGAAAAGCTTAGGGTTAGAGCTTTAGCTTAGAGTTGACTCAGAATTTCAATTTCCCAAAATACTAACCTTTATAAACATTTTCAGTTAAAGGAGTTCTCCTGTTCTGTTTCTAGATGATAATGACAACAGAGATGCATACATAGTTGTTGATTGCCTTCATAGGTCTGGTAATTTTTGGTATGGGACACCCAACTGGCTTTGCCAGTGACTATAGTCTGAGTAATTTCCAATGTTTTTGGCACAGTGAAGCATGTCATAATAAGAGTGATTTCCTTACATCTCTTGACCCTTCACCTGCCCTATTCCAAATGATATGTGAATTTTTTTTTAATGAACTAAGAAAAAGGTTTTTTTGAGAATGCTGTAATGTCCTTTCAGGTAATTCAAGTCATCTTTGGGTAACACAAAATCAGAGGGTGGAAATGATAATCTAGTGAATAAAATGCAAATAGTTAGGGTTTGTTCTCTGCATTCTGTCATTCATTCACTTTATGACCTAAGGAAAGTTAATTAACAATTTGGTTCTAAGTTTCTCCATTTACTTATAAAATGAAGATCCTGTAGTGGTAGTATTTCCTACAAGTCAATTATTAAATAATGGTTAAATCATCTAGAATAAGTATGAGGAAAAAGGATTTGGTTTTGTAGTAAATGGGACATATCCATAGAAATATGGAAAAAGCACACATTCAATGTCAGGTCTTTGAGTACCTTTATTTTTCTATAATTAATTTCACAGGTATAATTTTAATATTATGAGTGTCAAAGAATCTTAAATAATTCACCTTTTTTTTCCTCTGTTTAAATTTCCTGCACCATCCCTTTCTCCCTCCATCTTAGCTACATAGGAAGCTAGGTCATGCAGTGAAGGAGAAGGAAGGAAGAATAAGCATTTACACGACACCTCCTATGTGCCAGGCATTGTGCTGCGTGCTTTACAAATATTATCTCATTTGATCTTCGGTGGATAGAGTGATGTACCTCGGGTCAGGATGACCTGAGTTCAAATCTAGCATCAGATATTTTCAGCTGTGGGCCCCTGTGCAAGTCCCTTAACCTCTGTCTACTGTAGTTTCCTCATATGTAAAATTGGAATAATAGCCCCTATCTCTCAGGGTTGTTCTGAGGATAAAATGACATGATATTTATAAAATGTTTTATAAATCTTAAAGTGCTTTATAAATAGTAACTGCTATTATTATTATTATTATTATTATTATTATTATTATAATTAATTATTATTATTTAGGGGCAGCTAGGTGATGCATTGGATAGAATGCCAGACCTGCAGTCAGGTAGACTCATCTTCTTG